TATATATATATAAGGGTGTGTGTGTTTCATCAAAGACAATTCAATGCCTATTTTTGTACATGCTGTTCAATTAATTATGTGCATGTTTTTTTACTTCATTTTATGCCGTTGACTATTTTTGCTGCTGCTACACTGCGAATAGTATCACTGGTGCTGACTTCACTTCCAACTGCTTATCCTCTATCGATTGAGTACTAATTAGAATGTGTCTCAGTTTTTTGGGTTTCTTTTTTCTTTGCTGCATCGAGTGCAGCTAACTATTCGACCTATTCTATTTTCATTGTTGCGGTCCACTTCACAAAGTTACATGTCCTTGAAAGCTTGCTCGTCTTTGTGTGATGGTGAAAATGCTTTAGGTGAAAGGTGCAGTTTACTTGAGGTCAAGTGGCCTCGTTTATTGTCTTTGTGTGATGAAATTTTGGCGAGGCGGAAAGTGCCTTTCACATTAATCGTCCATTGTGTGTGCAAGGGGAAAAGGCTTCTAGGGGAATGGCATTAGTCCACACCAGCAGAGATGTGTTTATGCAGGAGCATCTGGCGCCATTCCGGACGCCTGCCAGGGAACACATTAGATGGCAAGATAAGAATTTGAGTGTGATTTACAAAAAAAAAAAAACTAGCAACACACCACTGTTTCCACATTATTTAGGGACTATTAAAATGACATTAAAATGGTTTTAAAAATTCAAATTGTGTTTAAAGTTTATTTTATGTATTTGTTGAAAAAGATGCAATATTTTGGCGAAAAATGACCTTGAATATTAAAAATTGTCATCTTAAAAAAGGTTTAACATATAGTTTGAACAGCACGTAAATGGATGAGATGTTTTAATCAGTTCAATTTCTTGTAATTACAATTGAGCTTCATTAAAATAAATTGTAATATTTCTAAATAACTTTAAAAAAGTTCTCTCTCACTTCATACATTTGATAAAAATGACAGTTTACTGAATATTACATTTTAAAAATATTTGTAAAAGTTTGGAGCGCGAATTGATTGTATATTGTTTTAAAAATTAACATTCACACATTAAAATCACTGTATTTGTATTTATTTATTTATTTGAACAAGTAACTTAAGTCACTTATTTCCAACAATACTCAAGGAAAGAAAAACTATTCTTAACTAAATTTCTATACCGCGTTAGATATTTAGATTACGATAAATGCTGTATTTCCATGCATGGCATCCACAAATAAGAAATGAAAGAGTTTATTTCAGAATTTCGGTACAATAAAATAACAGTTGTTGCCCAGGGGGAGAGAAAGGTAGATAAATAACTAAACATGAGTGAATGAAAAACACATTTAAAAAAAAAATTATACAGGAAGAAAATGGAAGCATGTCGAACTGTACAAAAAGAAACATTGGATGTGTTTGCTCTTAAATGTTTGTTTGTTTTTTTGGCAGAGAAATAAATACTTGACAGGTGTAACTGCCTCAAATGAATCACCCACAGTCTCTTTGGTAGGGGAAGAAAAGGCACCTCAGCAAGGAAAAGAAGCACAAATGGAATATTTACACACGAGGGAGGCTTTGGGTTGAAAAATCCCCTCCAAAAGTATTGGAACAATGAGGCCAAATAGTTTACTATTGGGGTTGGACATCAAAATGTTTTTCAGAATGAGAAGTTTCAAACATTTTTACATTAAAAAAAAAGTGTGTATCACTTTAACATTTGCCATACTCAGTGGATAGAAAACGTTGACACCAACGTTCAAAAGTTTGTGTGGCACAAAAAAATAAGACAGTCAATCATTTCCAAGCTATTTATCATCAATGTGACTTCTAATCTATAGCACTCAACTGAGGAAAAAGAACTGTGATCATGTGCTTGCACAAGTGTGCACACCCTCAAAAACAGTGAATGTGGCTATGTTCAGATTTAACCAGTCACATTCAAGCGCATGTTAAATGGGAGTTATTACTCACCTGCCACCATTTTAAGTACCGCTGATTAACTTCAAATAAAGTCCAGATGTTCTGGTAGGCTTTTCCCCTAACCATAATGCCAGGAAAAGCCTACTAGAACATCTGAACTTTATGTGGGGTTAATCGGCAGCAACGATTGGCTGAGTCGAAACACAAATTTTAAAAGGACGTGCACACTTGAGCAACTGCATTTTCTCAGTTTGTTTGGACTCGCACTATCAAAGGTTTCTGCATTTTATTTTAGTTATCATGACTACAAGTCACATTATTGGTGGAAAAAGTGTTATCAATTTTTTTCTATATCATAAAAAAAAAACATTTGAACATTTGAAAACTTTATATCCACTGTTGTTGTGGCTATTTTAATTTTGCTTTGTCCTGAATATTTAAAAAAAGATTCTAACAGTGTGTAAACTCATTATGAATTTTTAATATTGGGGGTATGAAAAATTCATAATTTTCATAAAATTCATTGTTTTCATGTCAAACCCAGTTATCATGGCAGTGCAAAAAAAAAAAAAAGGATTTGCCTCACTGTTCCAATACTTTTGGAGGGGAGCCAATAGCAAAAGCACTCGAACAAAAGAAACTCCCATTTCCCGTGACACTATCAGCCCAAAAGAGGTGAGGAACAGGCAACTCCTTATCTCAAATTGTCTTCCATCACTCCAAATAGAGGCCGGTGGAATTTGTAGTCTCAGTATATATTCCACGACATTCAAGAGATTGAATCCGTCCCAATCTTGGTTTTACTTTCTTCGTCCAATTTTGGTTTAAACGTGTCCGATGGGCGCGCTATTGTTGGCGTTATCGGTGTCCTTGCACACGCACGCACACTCCTCGTGGTGCTCCAAGGCCACGTCGGTCATGGACTTCTGCAGGCCTCGGCCGCCGCTGCGGTGTTTCAGCAGCAGAACCTGATGGGAAAAAAAAACATCATGTATTAACACAGTATGTATGAAATGAGACTAGCCTAAAATTAGAGGAACTGATATCCTTACACATTGCATGTAGATATACACATGCACACATATATAGTAGACACATATTGTAAAGATGTATACATATATACACACACTCACACGCACACACACACGCACTCACACACACACACACACGCACACACACACACACACAAAATAATAATAAAATATAAATAGAAGCATTTTAGTAAAAAAAAAAAAAAACAATAACAATAATGTTATAGTTGCTGCAGTTTTGGTTAGCAACTAAGTTAAAAAGAAAAAAGAAACCAAATCTTGAATAATTGTGATTTTTTTTATTGAGATGAGATTCAGTATCCATTTTAATTTATTGGAGAATGAGTATGAGGTTGAATTCAGATTATATAAATACTTTTGTATTTTTTTAATGTATTTTAAATGAACCCTTTATTTATTACATGATGATTGAAGTTTTGTGATTTTTAAAAAATAAATACTTTCTTATATTTGAACACAGGGAATGTATTGTATATTTAGATTATTTTAGTATTGGTATTTAGTGGTAGTAGTTGAGTTCTAATCTTGTGAATATCCTTTTATGTTGTTTTATGTTAAGATGTTTTATTTTCTTATTTTAAAATGATTACGATGATTGTGAATTATTGTGATAGTGATTCAGCATTGTGATGAATAATGACAAGAAACAAGTCCAATTTATATCACGTCCATTATGTTCCATTAGTGAAATAAACAACTCAACACAAAAGCATGCTGAAAAATGTTATCACCGAAAGGCAGTGAGAGGCAATGCTCTGAATACTGAACGAAATTGTGAGCGGGTCAAATTGGCCTGGAAAACTGAAGGCTGTTCCTGACAAACAAATGGAACAAAAGAGTTTTGAAAAGACATTTGCGCAGGAAAAAACTGGTTTCGATGAATTTCCTTGGGGCTACCTCGTGGTACTTTTTGGTGACGTGGGCGGGCTGGCACTGGCAGTCGTAGCAGCGGTGGGCGCAGCAGGCGCAGTTCCCGCCACAACGCCTCACCAGGAGGCAGCTGGGCCAGAAAATGGCATCGGTCCGCTTGAGCTCCTCGCGCAGCGACACGGACAGGTTGCGCGGCGTGCAGCTGTACAGCTGAGATTCCTCCCAAAGCAGGTTTAGGTCGGCGCCTCCTCCAGGGGGAAAACAAAAACAGGAAGATTAATATCAGTCAATTCATCCTTTAAAAATGACTGTACAGTGTTCCGCAACTAAATCATAGATTGTTGAAGGATTATTTTTATTTTTTACAGTAACAATGACCTAAATGAAGTTCCGCAATTAACACAAGTTCCTCGGCATCAAGATGTCACACTTTGGCGGCAAAGTATTACTCTTGTCTGAATGAAGCTTCTCAACTCATTTCGCCATCGTCCGTTGGCACGAGATACCACAAGATGCTGATAAAGTACTAGTTTTGTCTAAATGAAGCTCCTCAACTCACATGGTCACATTTCCTTGGCACCAAGAATCCAGAGGATAGCAGCCAAGCACTGGTTTTGTATCAATGAAGCACCTCAAATCACCTCGCCATAGTTCCTTGGCATCAAGATGGCATCTAAGTACTGCTTTTGTCTCAATAAAGTGCTGAAGCTCACTTCAGCATAGTTTCTTGCCATCAAGATGCCACAGAATGGCAGCAAAACACACCATTTGCATAAATGAAGCACCTCAACTTTCCTGGCATCAAAATGGCGGGGAGCAATAAAATATCAGAATGATGTGCTGCATCGCACGCCTTTATAGATGCTTGCACCAAGTTACCAAGGGGTGGTGGCAAAGCACTACTTTGGTTTAAATTAAGCTCTTTAACCCACTTCACCATATTTCCTTGGTACCAAGATGCCACAGGATGGTGACAAACCACAAGCTTTTTTTTTCTTTTTTAATAATGAAGCTCTTCAACTCATTTCACTGTAGTTTCTTGTCACCAAGATGCCACAATAAGATAGATAACCTTTATTTGTCCCATATGGCACCAAAGTACCACTTTTGTCAAAATAACGTACTGCAAATTGTTCAACATAATGTCAAAGTACTTCTTTGGCTGAAATTAAGCTCCTCAACCAATTTCACCGTAGTTCCTTGGCACCAAGTTGTCCATATATTTACCTCTGGCTTTCTTGTTATGGATGAAGGATTTGCCGAGCACGTGCCACGTCGGTTTATACAAGTCATCCATGTCTAGCCGCCAGCGCTCGGGCTCCAAGTACTTCATCACCTCCTCCACTGTTCTCAGGCCCGACACGGCAGCCGACAGCTCTTGCAGGTCCAGCTGGGATGGAAGTTCGGTTCCTGCCGGAATCTGAAAAGAAATAAAGGTCTTCATTTTGGTTTTCATATAAACAGCATTTAACTTTTTTCACACTTGTATGACACTTGAAAATGTGAAAAACATTGATTGGGGCAAGTTGATGGTGAAGATGATTTACATTTATAATATTTCACACAGCCACTCCTGTTGTAGGCCCACTTTTGCTCCTGACATCCCCGGGGTAGCATTATTTGTTTTTTCCCTGCTGTGCCAAAGGCGGACATGATTGATACTTGCACTGTCGCTTCTTCCTATAGGACTTGGCTCGTCCGTTTAAGCTTTAAGCATCATGACCATGTGTTTGTTCGCCGTGTCGGCTTTCTGCTCGGCATTAACCTTGCCTGAATGACAGCCAGGATGTAACAACACTGACAACAGATGAGGAAAAAAATGCTTCGGGCGGTGTTTCGTGTTTTATGGCGAGTCATGAAACTTTATCGCCATGCTTTGGCGAACCAAATCTGAAATGCTGAACGAGTTAGTCGTGCCCGTTTTACCCATTTCTGTTTCAAATTTGGTAAAAAATGAACAAAATCTCTTGGATGAGTTTGCCTTGATCAACACCTGGAAAAGGTCAAAATTAGCCTAAACTAGCCTCTTTAAATGGAAATGGCAGATTTCTTGTCTCTTTGCAGGTATGCTGACTTCAGACTTTTTGTTGGTCTATTCATGATAGACCAGGCTACCAAATTTCATGTTATGAAATCAAACTGGCATCAGGGACAGAATTTTCAAACCCAACATACAAGAATATCGTGTTTTATGCCAAGTCATCAATCTTTGCTGCCATGCTCAACCTACATGCAATGACAATAACAAATGTTTCACAATTCACAGCCACCCACCTGTCAATTGTAACTGAGTTCAAATTTGGCGGCAATTAGGCAAAATCACTGGAAAATTTTGTGTTTTTAGGGCCATTGTAAAATGTCCAAAATTTGACAAAATGGACAATTTCAAAACAAGATGGCAGATTTCCTGTGTGCTCTCGGGCGTAGCATATTGAGAATTTGTTGTGGGCCTCCTCATTCTAGACACACATAAAAATGTCATCGTGAAACTGGCTCCACGGGCTAAATTTGAACAAAAACTCAGAAATTAACTTTCTGTTATTCGCATTGGAAATACTAATGGGAAAACCACCTTCCATTAAGTCACATATTTACGTTCAAGAATATAAAAACCAAAACCACAAATGAATTCCTCAGCTGTCTGTGGTTAGGATGGGTTTTAGTGTTATTTTATACGAGTATTTAGAGCTGTGAAAAAAAACAGTTATTTCCGATCCCTCTTAATACAAATGAGGTCAAGGAGCCCTGCAGCAAAATCCATTCATAGGGTGGGATGGCCATCTGCTTCAAAGTTAGTTCAAAGTTTTACAATAAAGCAATCAGGTCAATGAGAGTGCCCGAGCACACAGTACTGTTTCCCCCTTGATTTATTTTGGAAATTTCATGCTAAGAAATGATTCAATAGAAAGAATCGCGTGGCCGTAATCCTCGCAGGTGTGATTTTGGGGTCCATGTTATTAGTGTGTCGGTTTGACCTTATGCTCAGTTCACTTATCGGTATTTAAATTTTATTTGACCAGACCACGAAACAGAGAAAACAGAAATTACAAAACAAAAGAATATATTGCACAAGTAAAAAGTAATGTTGAAATGACGATGAAAAATAGCTTAGTCAAAAATCCATCCATCCATCCATTTTCTACCGCTTATCTGGGGTCGGGGGCAACAGCTTTATCAGGGAAGCCCAGACTTCCCTCTCCCCAGCCACTTCTTCTAGCTCTTCCCAGGGGATCCCAAGGCGCTACCAGGCCAGCTGGGTGACATAGTCTCTCCAGCGCGTCCTGGGTCATCCCTGGGGTCTCCTGCCGGTGTGGGACATGCCCGGAACACCTCACCAGGGAGGCGTTCAGGAGGCATCCTAATCAGATGCCCGAGCCACCTCATCTGGCTCCTCTCGATGTGGAGGAGGAGCTTCTCGACTCTGAGCCCCTCCCGGATGACCGAGCTTCTCACCCGATCTCTAAGGGAGAGCCCGGACACTCTGCGGAGAAAGCTCATTTCGGCAGCTTGTATCCGGGATCTCGTTCTTTCGGTCACGACCCATAGCGCGTGACCATAGATGAGGGTTGGAACGTAGATCGACCGGTAAATTGAGAGCTCCGCCCTTTGGCTCAGCTCCTTCTTTACCACGACAGACCGATGCAAAGTCCACAGCGCAGCAGATGCTGCACCGATCCGTCTGTCGATTTCTCGCTCCCTCCTGCCCTCACTCGTGAACAAGACCCCAAGATACTTAAACCATTCAAAAATATAATGGAAATAATGGAAATAATGGAAATAAAATAAAATGCATAACAATAATTGAATAGACAAATATATACAAAATGAAAATAAAATGAAAATGAAAATGAAACAATGATAAGGACAAAAAAAATCAAAATAAATTAAACCAATTTTAGATTTAAACAATAGACATTTCAACACACACTCTTCTTAGGACACCTTTTTGATATTGCCGGCCCTTTTCTGAACAGTTTCCACTCTTTCCCACATGGATTTTTGCATGTCCACTAAACTCCTACATGTGCTCTTGGGATTGTTCCTGAAGACGGACGCCAAAATGAGAAAAAAAAAAAAAAACATCTGAGGCCCATCTGTGCGGTGGCTCAACGAGAGCGGCTCGTTAAGAAAGCTTGCAGTGCAGCATTTGGTTTTGCTGGAGCCTCGCTGAGATAAATCGACACAAGCGTGGAACACCGACAGATCTTGGCAGTGAGTAGCAGCAGTAGCGTGAGCGGCAAATTAGCCCAGCCTTGGCAGAGTTCAGCGACTGGAAGTCATTAACAGCCTATGAATTTTGACGGCGCAATCCTCCCCCAATTAGCGGCGGAACGCTCCCTCGCCCAACTAGGCCCACTGTGACTTTTAACGGCTGCCAATTAAGACACAAACACACGAGCCAAAACTCTCTATTGAGTTTGAAGGGTATCCTTTGAAAGATGATCGGAAACATGCAGGAAATGGCCAAAAAGTGCCTGACATGGACTCTTCAAACCAAGATGGTAGAGTCCTGTGTTTTTTAGGGCATCAGTTGTTAGACTTTTTTGTGGGTCTACTCATGATAAACATGTCCACCAAATTTCATGTTGCTGATTGAAATTGTCTCCAGGTATTGAATTTTAAAACTGAATTTATCTTCAAATGTTGTCAAGCTCCACCACATTTTGCACATCAAAATGGCAGACTTCTTGTGTCTTTTAAAGCAGTGGTCCCCAACCGCCGGGCCGCGGACCGGTACTGGTCCTCCAGGCATTAGGTACCGG